TGAAAGCGTGTTTAGAAAACACGCTTTCAATTAAAGTTGCGCGGTTACAAATTGCACATATACTAATTATCGCGTTAATTAATAAAACGCAAATTGAAAAACGCGCAACATGAAAATGTGTTTTGAAAGCACGCTTTCAATAAAAATAATAATTAATTTTACACCCACATCACACGCACTTACTCTCTTTTTTTTTATTCAAATGAAAGGTAAACAAACAGAAGTTACTTTATCCTTACAATTCAAGAAATTAGTCCCTCACAAGACTAACTCCAGTCATGTCATCAATGACTAGAGATCTCACTTCTACAGGTGGGTCTTCTAGGACCACCACATGGTTATGTTAGACTGCCCTCAAGTTTGTTACTTTGTCAGCTACTCTGTTGCCCTTGCGGAAGGAGTGTTTGATTGAGCAGTTGCAGTGTTTCAGGAGAAACTTGGTGTCTTCAATGAGGGCCTTATAAGGTGAGTGATGATTTGGTCCATCCCGGATTTGTATGATAGTTTGGGCAGAATCAGTTTCAATAGTCACATTCATGGTACATTTTTGAAAGAGAATGGTGAGTCCCCTGTATATGCCCCATAATTCAGCTTCTAGACTAAAGCAGTGGCCTAGTTTACCATAGTATCCCCATAGCCAAGTACCAATTTCATCCTTCAATAGTCCTCCTTATCCAGCTTGGCCTAGGTCGTCTTTTGAGCATCCATCTGTGTTGAGTTTGAGTTGACCTGCACATGGAAAACACCAGTGAAATAGTTTAGGATGAGAAGGGTTAGGGTGAAGAGGGGAGTGGAAAGCCTGTTCAATCTTTTGAGCATAAGTCCTTATGCTCTTAAGACTGGTTTGAATGGGTAATCAAAATGTTGTCAAAAAATAAAGAATTACGCTCCTTCCAAATTTGCCAAAGAGTGACAATAAATATGAGGGGCCATTTAAAACCACAAAGCAGTATTTTATTTTTCAAATTAGATGATACCCATTCAAACACAGGTTGACCACATCCTTGCTTCCATCGAATATGATTGGTGATTTCAGTCCAGACAACTTTGGAAGTGGGGCAATCTCTGAGAAGGTGACTCATATCCTCACTAAACAGCCCGCATCGAGGGCAAAGATCAAATAATGTCATGTTTCTCACAAGTCTTAAGTGGTTGGTAGGTAATCTGCCCTTTAAAATAAGCCAGAGAAAACATTTTAATTTCTGGGGAAATTGTAATTTCCAGATCCATTTCCAATCTTTACCAACACCTTCTTGGGCAGTGATAGCTTTGTAAGCAGAGGCAGTGGTAAAAAGACCATTAATTGATTCATTCCAGGAGGGGGCATCTGGATAAGTCACAAATCTAGGCCTATAAATCTTTATGATCTCTTGGAGGTCTTATTGGTTAACAAGGTTGGCAAGAGTATCAGTGTCTTAATTCCTTTCATCATCAAGAACATTACTGACCTTGGTTGAATCATTGGCATGAGTGGGATTATAATTATTGGCCAGTGGCTGTGTTCCACACCACCAATCATTCCAAAAAGAGATGGTATCACCATTGCCTACTCTCCACTTAGCACAGTTTTTTAGGGTATCTCTGGTGTGGCAAATACTCTTCCAGATGTAGGATGAAGACTTCTTCTGGGGCCAGCTGAATAAAGAATGGTTTTTAAGATATTTGGATTGAAGAATTTGGCACCAGAGTTTACTATTGTCACTCAGTAAAGTCCACCCAAGTTTGGTGAGAAGTGCTTTTTGTTCTCTAGTTTTTCTAATTCCAAGACCACCATCATCTTTACTTTTGCATACACTGTCCCAGTTGACAAGATGTATTTTCCTTTTATACTCAGTATCTCCCCATAGAAAATTCCGATTGATTTTATCTATTTCATCACAAATTTTCCTAGGGAGTTCCATGGTTTGCATATTGTAGGAAGGGATATCAGAGGTGACGGACTGAATGAGAGTACGCATTCCTACAAGGGAGAGGTTTTTAGCTTTCCAACCTGATAATCTAGACTTTAGTTTCTCGAGGACATCATTGAAAATATGCTTGCTAAGCCTAGTGTGAAGTAGGGGAGATCCCAAATACTTTCCAAGATCTTGAGTAAGGGGAATACCACACTGGTTACTTAGAGACCTAGCTTGGGTAGAAGAGATGTTGGGAGAAACAAATATTTTGGACTTCAAGTGATTAATTTTCTGACTAGAGATATGACAGAAGTCATTAAGGACAACCATAATAGTTTCACAATTGGGGTGGTCAGCTTTAGCAAATAATATGAGGCCATCAGCGAAAAACAAGTGGGATAGAGGGGGGCTATTCCTAGAAGCTTGGATACCATGCCAAGATCCCTCACTCACTTTAAGGTATATCATGTTGGATAACCTTTCCATACAAAGCACAAAAAGGTAGGGTGATAGGGGATCACCTTGTCTAAGCCCTCGCTCAATAGGAATGCCATTCAGAATTTCGCCATTCCAAAGAATAGAAGATTTGGTATTAGTAACACAACATATAATCAAATCCACCCATTGTTCATTGAGTTTAAATTCATATAAAGTATCCCTAATGAAGTCCCATGAGAGTCACCCATGCCAAGATCCCTCGCACTCTCTTCTCTCTCTCTCTGACACACACTTACACCCACATCACTCACACTCACATCACTCCACTCTCTCTCTCTTTCACACACATCTACACACACTTATAATAAATAAATAAATATAAAAATAATTAGTTTTATTCATTATATTTATTTTAATAAAAAATTTTATTTTATAAAATTGAGACCAATATTAAATATATATAATAATAATTTATAATAACAAATAGTAATCAACTATATAAAATGATCACTTTTTTACTTTAATTCTTAAAATTTATTTTTTTTTTATTTTAAGGTTTAGGATTTAAGGTTTAATTCTTATTATTTTTTTATTTTAGGGTCTAGGGTTCTTTTTTTTTTTATTTTAGGATTTAGGGTTTAATTCTTAAAATTTATTTTTATTTTAGGGTTTAGGATTTAGGATTTAGAATTTATAGTTTAATTCTTAAAATTTATTTTTTTATTTTAGAGTTTAATTCTTAATTTTTTTTATTTTAGGGTCTAGGGTTTAATTTTTAAAATTTATTTATTTTTATTTTAGGGTTTAGGATTTAAGATTTAGGGCAAAGTGTAATTTATGATGCCAAAAAACATAGTAAGAACATAAAAAAAAAGAAGAAGATAAAACTGTGTCGTTTTAAGCACAATAAAAAATGATATATAAGTCAATTTTTTAGATTAACTTTTTAGACTCAATAATATATAAATGAAATAATTGATTGATGATTAAAAAAGATATGAGAGAAAATTATATTAAATATTTTAATTGATTATCATATCATTGGATTTAAAAAATAAGTCAATTTTTTAGATTAACTTTTTAGACTCAATAATATATAAATGAAATAATTGATTGATGATTAAAAAAGATATGAGAGAAAATTATATTAAATATTTTAATTGATTATCATATCATTGGATTTAAAAAATAAGTCAATTTTTTAGATTAACTTTTTAGACTCAATAATATATAAGTGAAATAATTGATTGATGATTAAAAAAGATATGAGAGAAAATTATATTAAATATTTTAATTGATTATCATATCATTGGATTTAAAAAATAAGTCAATTTTTTAGATTAACTTTTTAGACTCAATAATATATAAGTGAAATAATTGATTGATGATTAAAAAAGATATGAGAGAAAATTATATTAAATATTTTAATTGATTATCATATCATTGGATTTAAAAAATAAGTCAATTTTTTAGATTAACTTTTTAGACTCAATAATATATAAGTGAAATAATTGATTGATGATTAAAAAAGATATGAGAGAAAATTATATTAAATATTTTAATTGATTATCATATCATTGGATTTAAAAAATAAGTCAATTTTTTAGATTAACTTTTTAGACTCAATAATATATAAGTGAAATAATTGATTGATGATTAAAAAAGATATGAGAGAAAATTATATTAAATATTTTAATTGATTATCATATCATTGGATTTAAAAAATAAGTCAATTTTTTAGATTAACTTTTTAGACTCAATAATATATAAGTGAAATAATTGATTGATGATTAAAAAAGATATGAGAGAAAATTATATTAAATATTTTAATTGATTATCATATCATTGGATTTAAAAAATAAGTCAATTTTTTAGATTAACTTTTTAGACTCAATAATATATAAGTGAAATAATTGATTGATGATTAAAAAAGATATGAGAGAAAATTATATTAAATATTTTAATTGATTATCATATCATTGGATTTAAAAAATAAGTCAATTTTTTAGATTAACTTTTTAGACTCAATAATATATAAGTGAAATAATTGATTGATGATTAAAAAAGATATGAGAGAAAATTATATTAAATATTTTAATTGATTATCATATCATTGGATTTAAATTGCATGAGTGTGTGTGATGTGAGTGTAAAATTAATTAATTTTTTTTATAAAAAATATGTTTTCAAAATATATTTTTATATTATGTATTTTTTAATTATATTTTATTAATTGACTTACAACCGCGCGACTTTAACTAAAATCGCGTTTTTTGAATACGTTTTTATAATTTTATTTATTTTATCCGTTCGAATCACAAAAATAATGAAAGCGTATAGTAAATACATTTTCAACTTTGGCCAAATTTGGATACTTAAAAAAAAGTCAAAAAGTTAAAAAGTTACTCAAAAAGTTAAAAAATTAACACTATTCATCAAAAGTCAACAATTACGGCTGCACAACTCCCAATCTTAATTTTCTTCTACAAATCAATTTTTACAATTTTTTATTATACATTTTTTCATAAAAAGTCAAAAAATTAACCCAAACATCCATATTTTTTTCCTCAACTTTTTAATTCAAAAAGACAAAAAGTACACTTATTTAGAATACCCTAAACAACCCGTCAGTTTGGAAAATTCATCCAAACTACGATTAATAAATTAGCCTAGAGGCTTAGGTGGGGAAAAGCCCCGGGACTACAGTAGGCAGACAGAGGTGAGAGGGTTTATCAAATCAAAACCCTAACGATTACATACATGCGTGCGTAGAGAGCAGCAGAGGGGAACTGAGAGAGAAAGAGAGTCCTCAACAATGGCGGTCTCACTGAGACGCTCTTTGATCTCTTCTCGCAACATCTCTCTTCTCCTTCGGACTTCTCTCCACTCTCGCCATCTCTCACACCTTGCCTCCTCTCCCATTCTCTACGATTCTTCGTCTTCTCACACCGTCCCCAATTCACCACCGATCAATTTCATCAGAGAAAGTCGCAGATGTTTCGCCAAAGGAAGAAAATCAAGTATCTTGCTATCTCTCTTCAAATCCATGTACATACAAATGCACACTGTACACTTAACGGATTCATTTCGTAGATTAATAACAAAAACCTTAATTAACACCCTTGACTAGTGTAATTTTATATTACTTTTATCTTATGTTTCGAAAACAAATGATAAATTTAGATTATTGAACTTCATTTTCTTCCTATATTTTTTTAGTTTTTTTCAATTATATCCAGAAATCCGCGATCCACACTAAGCCTGAGCCTGAGCCTCAGCCTGAGTGCTTAACAATCCTTAACATTTGAATGATATGTATATACATCCTTGTCAAATCGCGAATCCAATCATGAATTGTTGTGCTAAAATAATGAATTCTCAATCGTATAATATGATATAATTTTTTTTTTTTTTGATTGGCATATAATATGATATATAATTATATATATATATATATATATATATAAATACATACAATGCTTGAATAACGTAAATTATCAATATGACTAAATTATATATATGTATATACATATAAAATCACACGTATATCAATATAATTAATTAATCTTTCCTATATATCTTCTTATGTCGTTTCATGCATTATGTAAACAAAAATGGAAATAGGACTGAATCGTAATGAATTGTCAATTGAATCATACGATTCACTCAATTTTTGATTCAACAGCACGATGCAAATTGTTTTTGTTGAAACTCATATCGAATCGTATGAATTGAATGTTGAATTGTATGATTCTAGCAACCATTATATATTCATATTACTATGGTCAAAGATTATACTTTTGAAATTTCAATTCGTACCTTTTATATTTATTTATGGTGTATGAAATTTTTAGAGGGTGATGATGACGCCAACACAGTTGAAATTGTGGATATTGGACCTAGTGTTAAGGCGGCCGCTGTGCTGCAGATGGAAGCAGCAGTTGATGCACTATCGCGAGAACTAAGCAAGCTTCGAACGGGGAGGGCATCTGCTGGTATGCCATTGTTTGTGATTTTCAATGGGGGTTGGAGTTAAATTTGATGGTGATTTATTTTAACATGGTCAGTTTTTGAGTTTTGTTTACAGGAATGCTCGACCATATTATTGTCGAAACTGGTGGAGTCAGGATGTCCTTGAGCCGATTGTCTGTTGTCTCTGTCCTAGATTCGAAAACCTTGTCTGTAACTCCTTATGATCCAAATGTAATGAATTGTGTCTCACTTAAATATGTTTTTATTTTTGGAGTATTTGTTTTGTTTGTGCCAACAGTAGCACATATTCTCAATGCATTTGAACTACAAACCTATTGTAATACCGATTAATTGTGTCAGTTTTACCCAATTTTGCATGGTATATTTTGGAGTATGTATGCTAAGTGAGCTCAGCTTCACTTGTAATGATAGTACAATATCAATGAATTTGGTTTATGCTTCTCTATCACCTTGCGAATATAAGTAGCTTTGAATGACTTCCCATTTGTTGCTACTTGTGAATCACATAATATAGCTTGGTAGAATATACTCATGAGTTATTTATCAAAAAAAAAGAAAAGAATATACTCGTGAGTCCTGACTGAGTGACTGTACTTCCACAGGGCCTAAAGGAATTGTTGACCGCCATTGTTTCATCACCACTAGGTTTAAATCCTAACACAGATGGCGATCGATTGATTGTACCTATCCCTCCGTAAGCATTGATTCTATTTAAACTCTACTTATCCACTTATGCTTGCTTAAATCAAGCCCCATTAGTAGTCACATAAAATACTATTGGCGTAGGCAAACATCATAATTTGGTTGTGAAGATCTTAGTTTTTCTTTCTTTGATGAGTTTACCTTATTGGTGAATCAAGCTTCAAGTTTTGTTCTCTTGCAAGATGTGGGTACATGGTCCACCTCACCTTGCTACATGCCATCATCACATCATTTCATCGCAGCCATTGGTTCTGTCCATGGCATCCTCATAAGGTCACACATGCCAACTCATACATGGACACATGTGCTACAAACTTCCCCAATGGGTTGTGAGCGATACCTGTCCCAAGTGAGGATAATATGCACGTGTCTTAATCTCAAACCTTGGTATGTGTAGACACACTACAAAGGCACCTTCTATTTGCCCAGGGCCTAGAACTTGATTGAGCACATCTCTCTTATACCTTGAGTACCCTTCTCTCTATGGCACCTCATGCTTTTATGCTAGTCTACTTGGAGGTTCTGATCTCCATCTCCAAAATATCTCTCTGTCTCTTCCTGTAAAAACCCCTCAGCTCTCACCAAGATCATGTCCACTTGTCTGCTGCTATCCTAAGCATGTTGCCATATTTCCCATACCTAATTTCACACATCCACAAAGGACAGATTGAAAATTAAGACATACATAGTTCAATTCTTTTGCAACTTGGCTAATGTATATTTGTTTTATACTTGCAATATGCAGATTGACTAAGGTGCATATGCAGGTGAGTTCAATATTGCTGTGTCCTTTTATTTATCAAAAATATATATATTGCTTTGTCCTTTTTATTCATTTTCTCTGCAATTGCTATTAGCATCAAGCCACTTTTTTGCTAGGCTGTGTGCAAGGTGGTGACCAAATCTTCTGAAGATGTCAAGCAGAGTATAAGAAGTGCTCGCCAGAAGGTATAGCTGCAAAAAAAAAAAAGTTATTTTTCTCCATTTGAACTATATTCTGTTGCAAAGTGTTATTGTTCCTTGGATAGAAAACCAAATAAGAGGAGAAGATTACAAAGAATGAAACCACTAAAGGCATTTTTTGCTTTTGGATGTCACAGATTATTGACATGCTCTGAGTGCCATTTTGGTTAATATGGTGGCTTAGTGGAAGAATCATGATTTCTCATGCATATTTGGTGATTTATCAATATATTTGGCTTAGTAGTATATTTTACTGGAAAACTAGTGCATATTGCTGGTCTTAATTTGGAGCAGATATTTGTTTTTAATCTCTGTTATTTTTTATGATTAACATGAACACCCTATCAACAAACTAAACTGCTAAAAACTTTTACAAGCGCATACTACACACAGAAGAAGCTGCAACAATGGTTACAAATTTTATGTTATTTGCTTTATGAAATACTGTAGCATTGTTTAATAGTCTAGGCAAACTCCTTTTCCTTGTACAGGCATTGGATACGATGAAGAAAGCAGGTTCAAGTTTCCCAAAAGATGATGCCAAAAGATTGGAGAAAGAAGTGAGTTAAATAGTGGATAACTACTGAAGAAACACTTGACGGTTTTTTAAGGATTGTGCTCATACCTGATGCTTGTTCATTTCCCTAGGTTGATGAATTGACTAAGAAGTTTATCAAGTCGGCAGAGGATATGTGCAAGGCGAAGGAAAAGGAGATTGCTGCAGGCTGAGTGGTGGCTTGTCGGTATTCCAAATATCTCCGTTAGTACCGTTTTGTTTTCATTTTGAAGGCTTTTACACCTCAAGTTCCATAGTTGAGAATTTTTAAGTTCTCATCGTTGTTTGTAGACCTTAGAATAATGTAGTTAAACAATTTTAGGGATTAGAAACCACCATGAGCAAGGCAAGTCTATGTTCTGAGAATGACAAGAAGATTTAATGTGGGAAAAAGAACCGTCACAATTCCATCTTGACAATAGCTTTGACATGATAATGGGAATTCAAGGCCTCCTTATTCTGAGGTAACAATTGGAAGTGTATTCATTGCATGTCTTGTGATGTTTGAAACTGAAAATGATAAATGGTTCAACCCTTTTGGTAAAGAACCAAATGTCATTAAACTAGGGGGAAAGAAATGATCTAGTTTGAATTCTACCCATTTCATTAAATCATATTGGGAGGCCTCATTATGACTAGCGGGACAATATCTTGGATAAAAAGCATATCTCAAGTTTAGTTATTGATTTTGAGCAGACATCAATTTTGCATCATTATTAGTTCTTGGATCAATTGTTTGTGTTCCAATTCTATTTTTCTTTGTTTATTTGGACGAACCCAAGTCCAACTCAAATTCATGTAGTTGATCTTGAGCAGTCAAGCTTTGGACAAGTCAGTTTCGATTAAAATTGGAACTTGGGCAGATCTCTCTGTTTTTTGGGGCTGGACTTGGAACAATTTGTTCCAGATTGCAGCCCTAACTAAAATTTCGGGTTTGCTGAAAAGCAACAATGGCACAGGGATAGCAACAACAACATTATCAAGTGAAGATGCTCGTACATTTCTTATTCTGGGCCTTTATCATTGCAATTTGCATGCATGAAAGCTCAAAATGAGCCTGGGTGGATAGGCAGAGTCGTCCTAACTCAAAGAGGCATGGTGTCCCATAAATTCTTTCGATTACTTTTATGGCCCTGGTTGGTACAACTTTTAATAATCAAAAATAGAAATTAGAATAACTTCTCCCTCTATTTTCTCATAATTATTTTTTTAAACTTATTTAAATTATTTTTTATCTCATCTCAGCAAAAAGATGTACTAAATATTTCGGCACAAATTTTTAAAATAAAAAAGAAAAGTTATAAGCGTGTCTGCAAGTTTACACCGAACAAGAATAATCTTTCGTAGTTCAAAATTTTTTTTTTTTATCTCAGTGTATCTCAGTGTTAGGCCTCAGTTTGGTTGGAAAAAAAAAAGAAAGAAAAAAAAAAGCAAAAAGAAAAAA